AAAAGGAATTGTCAAGGTGTGCCTAAGGACATGGGTTTATGAAAAGCCAGCAGCATCATCTTGAAGCATCAACAAGATGCTCTGCTATTATAAAGGCCAAATGGGTTTCATTCAGCCTGAGAGCTCCATAAAGGTGTTAGTTACAGCCCTGAACCTGGAATTCCTCTTTCCAGCTCTGGGATTCCCCTTAATAGAACCCTCAAGTGTACGGTGATCAGAATCTTGTAGGGCTGGCCATACTACTCCCTCAGTTGAGTGAGTTAAACCAGGGGAAACTGGCTTGGACACTGAGGCCTGAGGGTATCTTGAATCTGCATTCAAGGCACTGTCCTGGGCCTCAGTTCCATTACCAAGACAATGTATCAATTGCCTTCTAGAATATTAACTGTCTTGTCAAAATGCACTCTTAAAGGGCAAAAAATATATTACAACAACTTATAAAGGATTTAAATTCAATTTGTTTTCTCATTGCTAACTACTCTGAACTTAATATGAGATAGTCAATTTAGGATTCTATACAGTTAATAATGAAGTTTACTTCTTTAGAAGTAAAACTTCTAGGGGAGTTAATATAACAGAATCTGGGCTCTTCAGTGACAGTATTATGAATGAAACAAAAAGACTCCAGAATGAACCTATCATCAAAAAATTATATACACTCTGCTCTTTCATTAGGCAACAGTCCCCAACATAATTGGTGATCATGAAAACTGGAAATACAATATTAGAGAGGTAGTTGATTAAGGACATGCTTTCCTCATTTTTTTGTGCAATAGTCTCCAATTTGCAACATACGCCAGAGCAATATTTTTTCTTACTGAAGTAACAAACTCCATTGATTCAATTGAGGAATTTTCTATTGGCACACTGTGCCTGTTTTTGAGCATTAAAAAAGCAAAATGCTTTTTACAAGGTCATTAATTTTTGCTGATGTTAAACAGATTCTCTAAGTTGGATCATCTAGTGATATAACAAAAAAACATTATATTTTACTGTTCATCTCACCATATGTATTTTATATTGTCTTGCATTTCTTTGAATTGATGTCAGGTGACATAATTATGCATTCTGGCCTCAATTCTGTATATGAATTTTATCTATTGGGATCTCATCTCCACAACATCTCAATACTGGAATGTCCCAGTACTTATCTTTTCAGTGATCTCTTTCAGTCCTATGGTTTTAAATATTTGCTATATGCTGTAAACTGGCAGAATTTATACAACCATCTACCCAGCCCTCTCCCTTCAAACACATGCCTGTATGTGGCTGCCCATGTCATATAGGCACCAAGACATTTTTTGGACAGTTGAAACATAGACCACTAAGATATTACTCATCTCAAACTTAAAATGGCCAGGATAACTGGCTGATCTTCATCATCAAATCTGCTCTGTTGAAAGTCTTCTCCATTTCAGTTAATAGCAAATTTATCATTCTAAATTCCTAAACCCAAATCCATGGTCTCATCTTTGAATCTTCTTTGTCCCACAATTATCATTCAATTTATCAAAAAATGCTTTTTTAAAAAAAGATTTAATTATTTATTTGAAAGTCAGAGTTACAAAGAGAGAGAAGGACAGGCAGAGAGAAAGAGGTCTTCCATCTGCTGGTTCACTCCCCAGTTGGCTACAACGGCCACAGCCCTCAGCAAATTCTATTCATTCTATGTTCAAAATATTTCCAGAACCTGAAAACTCTTAATCACACCAGTTGCTGCCATCATAAATTTCTCTGTTATCTCTTGCTTGAATTATTACACTGGCCTCCCAAAGACTGCCCTTGTTTTCAGCTTTAAACCTGTATATTCTCCAACAGTAGCCAGAATGACCCTTTCAGAAGTATATCATACCATACTCTTCTCTGCCTAAATGTCTCCATTTTTTTCATGTTGTTCAAAACAGTATTTACAAGGTTCTACATGGTCTACATTCTCTTCTAACCTACATCCTACTACTGTAACTCTTGCTAAGTTCCAGACAAAGTCAGTGTGAAGAGGAAGAAGAGAAAGAAATGCATTAGAATCACAAATAAATTATTTAGACTTAAAAGGTATTCCCCTCCAAAGAAAAATATAATGGCTCATAAGTTGCCTCATTGAAATCAGTAACAAAAGTGCATTTACTAAAACTGGACTCACACTATCTGCTTTCACTCAGAATTTCTATAGCAGAACCCCATTCTCATGGAGACATGTTGGATAGTGTGGGGAGCAACTCGGACTAGACTAAGTTACTGGAATTAAGACTTATTCTATGCATCTGCTCTCCCACAATATGGCGCTGAGAAGGGAGAAACAGCTTCTACACAGCTGCCTCCAGTTCAACCAATAAACTGTAGGACCTACTCCTGATTGGAGGAGAGCAGCGTACTCGGTGTGTGGGTAGCAGAGTTGGGATTGGTGGAAGAGGACTATAAAGGAGGAGAGAGACAACATGCACGGGGAACATCTAGAGGGAACATTTATCTGAAGGAACACCTGTGCAGCCCCCGAGAGAGCTGGCCGGCGGTGTGCCGCTCCCCCGCGAAAGTGGGGAAAGTGGCAGGGGGAACCACCCTTCCACGGAGGTGGAAGGGACGGTAGCCAACCCGGGAAGAACCAGCAGCAAACCCGGGAAGGGCCGAGCAGACAAAAGAACAGCGCAGGGTCCTGTGTCGTTCCTCCACGAAGACGGGGAGCGACAGGATAGCAGAGAACATAATAGAATCATAAATAGTTGCTGAGGCACTCACTTTTCAATGATAACACTACCTTGGCCACAGAAGCATTTAAATCACTGCTATCCTCAGACCAAGGCAATTCTCAAGGTTACCAGGCAAGCTTTGACCTACAGATGTTTCCCCAGCACACAAATTCTCTGAAGTGTTTCTCTTTGTAGGTGTTGATAATTCAGTAAATGAATGGCACTGTCGCTCCCCCTCTTCGTGGAGGAACGACACAGGACCCTGCGCTGTTCTTTCGTCTGCTCGGCCCTCCCCGGGTTTGCTGCTGGTTCTTCCCGGGTTGGCTACTATCCCTTCCACCTCCGTGGAAGGGCAGTTCCCCCTGGCCGCTTTCCCCACTTCCGCGGGGGAGCGGCACACCGCCGGCCGGCTCTCTCGGGGGCTGCACAGGTGTTCCCTTAGATGTTCCCCTTAGATGTTCCTGGTGCATGCCGTCTCTCTCCTCCTTTATAGTCCTCCTCCGCCAATCCCAACTCGGCTGCCCACACGCCGAGTACGCTGCTCTCCAATCAGGAGCAAGTCCTACAGTTTATTGGTTGAACTGGAGGCAGCTGTGTAAAAGCTGTTTTCTTCTCTCCCAGCGCCATATTGTGGGAGAGCAGATGCATAGAACAAGTCCCAATTCCAGTAACTCAGTCCAGTCCGGGCTGCTCCCCACATGGCACCTACTTGAAAAAGAGAAAAAAAAATTAGCTTAACAGGTACAGATACTAGCTTCACAACTTTGAAGTGCATTCCTTCCAACATATAAACATGCACAACAAAATGCTTTCTGGATTTGGTATTCCTGCTCCATCAGAAGCACAGTTGGAGAGTCCTGTAAAATATATTTTGGCACTGGAAGGGAATACGTGTAATGGCTTTAACACTTCTACAGTAGATAGGTGAGCGGGATGCAGAAAGAGTATCAATGGGTCAGGTTGTTCCAAAACATACATTCATTTTGTTGATGTGGCTGTTGATGTTTTCTTACATATAGTTCTGAGAAATGGTGGGCAATTTCAGAATTTTGGGAGTTTCCTCACTTGATAATATTTCCTCACTACTCACACTGAGCAATTTCATACTTCGGACATTTTTTTAAAGATTTATTTATTTATTTGAAATTCAGAGTTACACAGAAAGAGAAGGACAGGCAGAGAGAGAGAGAGAGAGGTCTTCCATCCACTGATTCACTTCCCAATTGAATGCAATGACTGGAGCTGTGCCAATCTGAAGCCAGGAGCCAGGAGCTTCCTCTGTGTCTTCCCAAATGGGTTCAGGGGCCCAAGGACTTGGGCCATCTTCTACTGTTTTCCTAGGCCATGGTGGAGAGCTGGATTGGAAGTAGAGCAGCTAGGACTTGAACGGGCACCCATACAAGATGCCAGCACTGAAGGCAGCAGCTTTACCTGATATGTCCCAGCAGTGACCTCTCATAGTTGGAAACTAAGACAATGCTTCAAACCTTCTATATTGTAGAACAAATTTTCCCAGCTATCTCTATTTTTTCCCATTGGGCCATTTCATCTTGAAGACACACTTGGAGAAGATGACAGCATCAATTTAGCTAACAATATTCATTTTTTTCATTAATTGTTTTTGTAGTTTTATTTTGATGCTTAATCTGATAAACACATAATACCCAGAGAGTGCCCTTGTTTGCAGTAATGGCAGCAGCTTATTCACATCTCATCAATGATAGAACAGCATGGCTTCACTGTGAAAGGAGCATGAATCAGAAGTGTTCATGAGAGGAGGGATATTTATAAGGCAAATGGAAACTATAGGCAAACCCAGATGAGGTGCAAAGGGAAAACATGTACTCTCTTAAGCGTAAGTCACTGCATAGGATCAGCAGGTATGTGATTTCTGCACAGCACAGGGAAATGGCTAAATCACTGGAGTCATCTAGATTTCTGTATTTTTAGCTTGAAAATGGATGGGGGTTGGCTTCATCATTAAAATATTTATGACCTTAAAATAAAAGGATGAAATTAAGCCAGGCACAGAAATACAAGTACCACATGGTCTCTGTAGAATTTTAAAAAGGCGATTGAATAGGAGGCAAGAGTAAAACAGTGGTTAGTAGAGGCTGGGAATAACTGATATGAAATAATAGCACAAAACTTCTTTAATTTGGAGAAACAAAGGGACATTCAAGTATAGAAAGCACACAAAACTCCTAATGAAGTTGACCAGAAAAGATCTTCAGCACGTCACTTTATAGTCAAGCTTTCAACAGTAAAACATAAAGAAAAGATTCTAAAATGTGCAAGAGAGAAATGCCAGATTACCTTCAGAGGATCTCCAATTAGATTCACAGCTGATTTTTCATCAGAAACTCTACAGTCTAGGAGAGAATAGAGAGACACAGTTCAAGTGTTAAAACACACACACACACACACACACACACAAAATGTCAACCCACAGAACTGTACCCTGCAAAGCTCTCATTTATAAATCAAAGTGAAAAAATATCCTCTAAAACAAACAGAAATTGAAAAAGTTGTCACCAGTCCAGCGTTCAAATGATACTTAAGGATGTGCTACACACAGAATCACAGAAAGATGGTTATCATTATGGAAGAATGTGTAAACAGAAAATCTCCTAGAAAAAGTACAAAGGAAATCTAAAGCAAGCAAAAGAATATTTGGAACAAGGATAGGAACAAGTCACTACTTACCAAATATACTCTTGAATAGAAATGCCCTAAATTCTCCTATTAAAATATACAGAATGTGTGAATCAGTTGAAAAACAAGACCCATCTATTTGTTGCCTGCAAGAAACACTCCTCATCAACAAAGATAAACAAAGACTAAAAGAGAAAAAAATGGAAAAAGATACACTAACACAAAGGAAAAAAGAGCACGCTAACACAAAGGAAAAAAGAGCAGCAATAGCCATTCTAATATCAGACAAAGCAGACAAAACCATAAAAAGTTAAAAGAGACAAAGAAGTGCACTATGTAATTATTAATGGAACAATTCAACTGGAAGATGTGGCTAATCTTCTGCCTGTGGCTCTGGCACCCCAGTTTCTAGTCCTAGTTGGGGCGCTGGATTTTGTCCTGGTTGCCCCTCTTCCAGTCCAGCCCTCTGCTGTGGCCCAGGAAGGCAGTGGAGGATGGCCCAAGTGCTTGGGCCTACATCTGCATGGGAGACCAGGGGAAGCACCTGGCTCCTGGCTTTGGATCAGCACAGCATGCCAGCTGCAGCACACTGGCCATGGCAGCCATTTGGGGGGTGAAACAACAGAAAAGGAAGACCTCTCTCTCTCTCTCTCTCTCTCTCTCTCTCTCTCTCTCACTGTCTAACTCTGCCTGCCAAAAAAAAAAAAAAAAAAAAAAAAAGCCTCAATCCAACAACACATCAGAAAGATAACTCTAGTGGACAAAGTGGGATTTATCCCTGGTATGCAGGGATGGTTCAACACACACAAATCAAACAATGTGACAAAAAACAATGTGACAAATAACACTAACAGTGTGAAGAATAACATCCACATGATTATCTCAATAGATGTAGAGAAAACATTTGATAAATTACAACATCCTTTCATGATAAAAATCTTAAGCAGGGCCGGTGCCGCAGCTCACTAGGCTAATCCTCTGCCTTGCGGTGCCAGCACACCGGGTTCTAGTCCCAGTCGGGGCGCCGGATTCTGTCCCAGTTGCCCCTTTTCCAGGCCAGCTCTCTGCTGTGGCCCGGGAGTGCAGTGGAGGATGGCCCAAGTCCTTGGGCCCTGCACCCCATGGGAGGCCAGGATAAGTGCCTGGCTCCTGCCATCAGATCAGCGTGGTACGCCGGCCGGCCGCAGCGCTCCAGCCACGGTGGCCATTGGAGGGTGAACCAACGGCAAAGGAAGACCTTTCTCTCTGTCTCTCTCTCACTGTCCACTCTGCCTGTCAAAAAAAAAAAAAAAAAAAAAAACTTAAGCGAACTGGATATGAAGGGAACATTCCTAGCACAATCAAGGAAATAAATGACAAATCCACAGCCAGTTTCATACTGAATGGTTCCAGTAAGTCTGGAACCAGACAAGGTTGCCCACTCTCACCATTGCTACTCAATATAGTTCTAGAAGTTTTAGCCATCGTTGTTATGCAACAAAGAGAAATCAAAGGAATAAAATTGGAAAGGAGGAAGTCAAATTATCCCTGTTTGCATATGACATGATCCTATAAATAGGGAAACCAAAAGACAATGAGACTATTGGAACTCATAAAAATAATTGGATAATGTTGCAGAATACAAAAATCAAAATCATTTTATACCCAAACAATGCTATGGCTGAGAAAGAACATGTAAATCAGTATCATTCACAACAGCAACCAACATTTAAATATCTTGGAAAAAAATTTAACCAAGGATGTGAAAAACCTCTATAATAAAATTTTAAAAATATTAAGGAAAGAAATAGAAGACATGAAAAAATCTTATGTTCATGTATTAGACAAATTAATATCATCAAAATATCTATAACACCCCATGCAATTTAAATACTCAATGTGACCCCAATCAAATACCAATGACATTCTCCTTGGATCTAGAAAAATGATGCTAAGATTCATATGGAATCACAAGTGATCCTGAATACCTAAAGCAATATTCACCAACAAAACAAAGCCAGAGGCATCACAACACCAAACTTCAAGATATACTACAGGGCAGTTATAATTAGAACAGCCTGCTACTGGCACCAAAATAGACATGTAGACCAATGGAACAGAATGGGAACCCCAGAAATTAATCCATGCATCTGCAACCAACCAACCTATGACAAATGAGCTAAAAGCAATCCCTGGAGAAAGGACAGTCTCTTCAACAAATGGTGCTGGAAAAATTGAATCTGAATCTTCACCAGCAGAAGTATTAAGCAAGACCTTATACAAAAATCAACTCACAATGGATCAAGGATCCAAATCTAAAACCTGAAACTAAAAATTATTAGATAAAAGCAACAGAGAAATTCTGTAAGACATTGTATAGGCAAAGACTTTGTAGAAAAGACCCCAAAAGCACATGAAATCAAAGCAACTGTAGACAAATGGGACTGCATCAACTATGAAGCTTCTGCACTGAAAAGCAAATACTCGAGGGCTCCAAGGTGACGGAATAGGGAGGGAGCTCACTGATAGTCCAGGAAAAGATAGTTTAATAAAAGTGGAGATACTGTAGTCTCAGAGAAGAGTTAGGGAAAAAACTGCAGAGAAAACTCTTCCGGAATTAGAAAGACATGATGGACCTACATGGAGGGCACAGATGCCCAGGGCTCGGGACCCCAGCTACTGAGTCTGTGCACCAATGCTGGAAAGCAAGGTGAAGTGAAACCGCAATAGCCTGAGACACTGGCCCAAAAGCTGCAGGAAGAGCCTAGGAGGAATGAGGCTTGAAGCCCTGTGGGGGAAAGTACACCAGCCTAACTAGAGGAAAGAAAAAAATAAATAAATGGGACCAGTATGGACATGATTCTCTCTTTCCACTCACCTTACAAAGGCGAGCAAGTCAATAGAGCAGGCGCCATTTTGGACATACATAACAGCTGCACCAGCTCAAGGCTGTGTCCTCACTCAGCCAAACAGAAAAACCTGACTCTGGTGGGGAAAAATAGCAGAAGACAAAGACCTAGTGAATGTGTGGAGCTTATAAACTGGTACTGTGGGGGAAAAAATAAAAACTGAGGATGTGTGAGAGAACTCACAGTGTGCCTGAGATGTGAGTAGTCTCGGTGGGAGACACCACAAACTCGGGCAGCTTTGGCTACCCAGTGAGAGACATTGCAGGGGAATCTGGGCTTACATGGAGGACTGCACAGATCCTTTGTGTGGTCCTTGGGATAGAGCAGACAAATATTATACCCACTGGGGCTAGTGCGCAAGTACTGATCACCACCAAGGAGAAAGCTCAGCTGAGTGGAATTTCTTCCCTTCTGAATAAAGAGAGAAAGAGAGAAGATTTATCATGCCAAATCTGGGTGTGTCACCTTTGGCACACCCTTAACCCTAAAGAACTGAAAAGAGCTCTCTGGCCACACCCACCACAAGCCTCTAGAGATTCACCAAAAGCAGACAGTCCACTTAATCTAGAGTCAAAATATAACAAGAAAAGCCATCACAGCAATGAAAAAAAAAAAAAAAAAGAAGAAACCAAAGAATATCTCCACAATGCCAAACAAAAAACACAGAAACCGAGGAAACAAGAACAAGGAAGAAATCATGACACTCCCAAATGAACATGACACTCCAAGACAATATTTTGGGGGCTGGGGGGCGGGGTACAGGGTTATTTTAAAACTTTTATTTAATAAAGATAAATTTCCAAAGTACAGTTTATGGATTACAATGGATTTCCCCCCCTCATAACTTCCCTCCCACCCACAACCCTCCCATCTCCCGCTCCCTCTCCCATTCCATTCACATCAAGATTCATTTTCAATTATCTTTATATACAGAAGATCAATTTAGTATAAATTAAGTAAAGATTTCAACACTTTGCACCCACATCAAAACACAAAGTGTAAAATATTGTTTGAGTACTAGTTATAGCATTAATTCACATTGTACAACACATTAAGGACTGAGATCCTAAGGACAGAGGAGTAAGTGCACAGTGACTCCTGTTGTTGACTTAACAATTTGACACTCTTGTTTATAGCATCAGTAATCCCCCTAGGCATGAGTTGCCAAGGCTATGGAAGCCTTTTGAGTTGCTGACTTCGATCTTATTCAGACAAGGTCATAGTCAAAGTGGAAGTTCTCTCCTCCCTTCAGAGAAAGCTACCTCCTTCTTTGATGGCCCCATTCTTTCCACTGGGTTCTCACTCACAGAGATCTTTCATTTAGTTGTTTTTTTTTTTTTTTTTTTTTTTTTTTTTTGCCAGAGTGTCTTGGCTTCACATGCCTAAAATACTCTCATGGGCTCTTCAGCCAGATATGAGTGCCTTAAGGGATATTTCTGAGGCCAGAGTGCTGTTTAGGGCATCTGCCATTCTATGATTCCAAGACAAGATTATGAAGCAGATGAGATAGAAGAAATACAAGATATGGATTTCAAAAAATTTATGATAAGAACATTTAGAAGTTACCAAAAACAAATGCATGAACTACAGAAATCCATACAGGACAGTGCAGAAAATCTCTCTCGTGAAAATGAAATTGTAAGGAGGAATCAAAATGAAATGATGAATTTAGTAGATCATGAAATGGAGATATTGAAGAGAAAACAAAAATAACTAAGAATTCAATAGAACAAATGCAAAACACATTTGAGAACCTTAAAAACATAATCAGTGAAGTAGAAGAGAGAATATATGACTTAGAAGACAGAGCACAGGTAAGTATACAATCA